ACCCAGGCTGCCGGTGCATCTGGGGTGGTAGAGATTAAGGGCATCAATCCTCTGTCGATATTGAGGAGGATGAACCCTTTTGCACGCTGGGATAGACGGACCCAAGATGCTTCGGTGGTGGCATCTGTGCTGTCTGGCCTTGGAGTCTTTCCCGTTACGACATCCCAAACACCCATAATATCAAGGAAGGTTGTTGCTATTGACCGCCACGTGTGGTAATTAGCAGCACCGCGCAGTTTCTCGATCTGGGGAATGTTTAGGGATTTGGAAACGTCGGCCATCGTTGGTATAGAATAAAGTAATGAGAGAAAGGAACTCGAAAGGCATATATCACTTAGGAAGTGATTCGGATGGTTCAGAGCGCTGAACCCGGGCTCATAACCTTTTGTTTAGGTATGACGAAAGGGGCGATTGTAAATTGACTATAAAGACAAAATAAGAGAGCGACGATAGTGATTGAATGAAAGACTCGTTATCCGTAAAGCAAGAAGGAAAAACATTGTGCTTTTATCCTAGGAAAATAATAAAACATAAAAGACAACTAGAAGAACTTTTCCTCCACATGATACAGGCTACTGATAGTCGGTAACAAGAGTGTCCCAGATGTTGTTGATGGAACGTAACGGAAACAAAACTAATGCAGGATGGACAAGTAAAACAGTAACAGAATCAATGGCTGCACCGACAGGTTTCAACATCAATTAACTGCCTACTATCGTTAAATAGCGTGGCGGGCCTTAATCCTTGCCGGTTAAGAGATACTATATCCCAAACCACCGTCGCTCTGGGGGTTTCTTTGGGTACCGCACTCTAAGACGACACCCCCGAACTTTCCCATTACGAGCGAGTAGCGCCCAACGTACATATATATCCTGTATTATATACGTTTACAGTACGCCCCCCCGAATACCGTCTGCCGTGCCCTGAACCGTACTGTAAAGTACAGTGCTAGCACAGCATCAAACCGAGAGAACAGACAACGAACCCCTTTTGACAACTGTGACTAGGATTTTCAGAAGAAGCCCAGGCACCATACCACAATAACTTAGTCCCCCGCTCCAATGCCTAACTTATAGCCCCCTGGCTAGAGTACCGTACCGTACAGTAATAGTACATTCCATTTCCCGCGCCGTTATTAGCATCGTGCTAGTACAGTACAGTACAGTACGAGTACCGGGCGGAAGCCATAGTGTTTGCGCCAAGCTGATTCAGTTCGCTCCTGTTAGACACGATGGTCTACCGTATTATGGTAGTTGGAATGTCACCATTGCCATTGGGACTTTCGGAAAAGAAAAAAAAAAAGATCCTTTAAAGCGGTTGCACCCTCAGCGAGATTGCACCCTCAGCGAGATTTGTATAAGTAAGAAAATGCCAAGTCTTTCCTTTTTTGCAGATCGGTCACTGCTAACCTACATGAGATAAACCACTCCACGCTGCCTCAGCTCAACACCACAACCTTACCAACCAAAAATCATTCCTCAAACCTACGTATGTCTTGGCAGATTATTATGTCAGGATCTCGCTGTGGGTGCAATCTCGCTGAGGGTGCAACCGCTTTATCTTTCAATCGGGAGATGGTGCGAGTGCAATGGTTGGCTGGCTGGCTGGCTGGCTGGCTATTATGCCTAGACTAACCAACTTAGCAAACTACAGTAATGGACTATCATAACCGCTTCGCTGAGGACTGCCAGCGTGCCGAACTGTACTTGTACTTCGTACGGTACAGTGCTCGTACTGTGGTTACTGTACCGGAACCCCCGGGGTCTTCGCTTCCCTCCCCAATGCATGTCTAGCGTCGGCCTGGGGTAATCGGGGGATTTTACGTAACGTCATGCGCTTCCCATCACTATGATATCCTTCCAACTATTGGACTGATTCCCTTCACATCGATAGAAGGGCGTTGTACCGGCAGGCAGGAGGATACGGAGTGAAGAGATAGTCACCATCCGGGATCGTTTCTTCCTTACCCACCTGCTACGTTCAAGGCATTTTCTTCTCCAAGCATCGGGATTGCATGACGAACAGACTCTAGCTATCTTGCTAGTTATTTGCTTGGCCGCTGAGGACTTTCCGTGGGGTTTCAACTCAATACAGTGTGCTCGGGTACAGGTGCCGGTAGTGGCTGATCGCTTACTATCATGGCACGGCATAGAGCGGCTCTGCGCCAAATTGGACCATTCGGGAGATACCGAGTTTGTATGTTCGCTACCCGCTACTACCACCGCTTTGGCCATTAATTCCCGCCACATTACCAAAGAAACGAAATAAGAGAAAAACTATAATTACTCGCTATCCGTTAAACACCACCCAAATGTATATCCGCTCCGTAAGCACCCACACAAGCCATCCGTTGATTATTGTTCCTTCGTTGTACCTACCACCTTCATTCCACCTTCTTCTCTGGAGCGTTAGGGTCATAAGGATGCTTAATACTCAGGCACCAAATATCTAGATAATCACAAATATTCGTGATAACATCCACCACGAAGCTCCCATAGACACCAATGCTCAAGCCCAGGCACGCAAGCACGTACGCGATAGTATACGGCCCCCCGCCTAGCACACTCGGCCATCCGAGACCCAGCTTGGCCTGCAAGAACGGCCCCAGGGCATCCAGCGTCCCCGCGAGGATCGGGGGAGAGAGGACGTTAAAATACGGGAAGGGGGATTTGGTCAAGTGCGCCGTGATGATGAGCCCGACCTGATAGGCAAAGGAGGCACCAATGAAGAAGATGAAGGGGAGGATATGCTCGCGGAGAATCTCCGGGCGGAGGGATAGCCAGAGGGGGATTGTAAGCCAGGTAGTGAAGAACGGAGCTAGGCCCAGGAGCGCCGGGGTTATGGGGAGGTTCTTGCTATGGCGGGCACGAATCACGTTACGGGAGCTGAGCACAGGGGCCGTTAGCATTTGCGAAGGTTGGGTGAGCCAGGGGGGAGCGGGGGGGGGGGGGGCGTCATGGAAAGATTAGAGTGCTGCTTTTTTGCTCTTCAATGAAGAAACTCGGGATTAAAAATATTTAATCCTCCGCCGCCTTATTCTTTCGCGGGGAGCCGTGGTAGAACGAAAGGAGGGTAGCAAACCTCTGCACAATGTTATACGCCAAGATAATTCCCCCGTAAACTAAATACCACTCAGCAAACGACAGGTCCCTCAACGCTGGCGGCAGGAAGTCGGGGCACGGCAATCCCAGTGCCTTGAGCATGGGCCTCTGCCAGAAACTCCCACCCTTGAAAGCGGTGATAGCATACACGGCGCAGAGTGTCAGCACTCCTTCGACGGGTCCGGAGACTATGCCTAGGTACAAGGTCCCCGTGTGGTACTCCTCCCAGGTTGTCAGGTAGAAAGCGCAGAGGCTCGCGAAGAGCGTGAGGATGGTGACCCACGAGTGACCGAGGTTCATTGCGCCAGCAAAGATGACGACTTCTAGGGTTGTATTCATTGCGTCTACGCCTGCTATCTGTGAGATGGATCGGTGGGGCATGCCCCGGGGGAGGTGGGCATACCGTGATCGAATAGCTCTCCCAAAGGCCCGCTCTGTCGAGTACGTCTTGCTTGCGTACCGTCACAGGCGTCGAACGTCTGGTAGAGGAATAGGCCCGCCGACCACGAGGCGTAAACCCAACCCGGACAGTCCCGGTCCAGAGTGGGATTGTACCATAGCAGGGTGAGGAGGTTGACAACGACGAAAGAAAAGCCAGAGAGGGTGATCTGAAGAATGTTAGTGGGCCAGCCCGCTCTATTGCCTTCTCGGGTGGGATATAATAACTAGATTTGGTCTTGGGAACCGTCAGTCTTTTGTTTGCTGTTTCCTAGGGGCGGAGGGAAGACAGGACGTACGCCATAGAGAGAGGGAAAAGGCGGATAAAGTATTTTGTGTAAAAGGGTTTCAGAATGTACCGCGAGACCAGGGAGTGGTCGACGGCAGAGTACCGGTACTTTCTCAGGTTGGGAAGTTTGGACTGGCGTATGTACATCTTGGATGTTTGATCCTTCTTTTCAGTAGGCGGAGGAAGGAAAGATGGAGATTTTGTCGTTGTGGAGGAAGATGACTTTAGGGAATAATTTAACCACAAGCATGCTCAGGTAAAATGCCAAGACAATGACGAGTGTCGGCCCATGCGAGTCCCGCAAGCCTTGCGGGAAAATAACGGCGGCTAACGAGAAGCCTTGGCGACCTAACTCCTTAATCCCACCTCATGGCTTCCTGAAAGGACCACGCAGACCCTCCAATAGAGGGAATTAAATCCCCAATTCAGGATTGGGGAAAGGAGGTCACAAAGTGCCTTCAGCAATCCCAGGTCGTTTCCCACACAATACCCGCAGATAGAGGAGCACGCGCTATGAAGGGAGCGTCCACGGATGCTGTGCCAGTGCTCGAGTTTGTAGTATCACAAGGGAGCGGGTGGGGTGAAGCCATTGAGGGATAGCAGCGGAGTCCAGGTAGACTACGTAGCCCACCGGCGGCCAACCCACACCGCAAATCAACACGGCCCCCTTCCAAGCCGGTCAGGGCGCCCACCTCACTGCGCTGCAGTACGGGATAGAGTTCATCTTCCGACTACCAAACTGTAACAGAAGCCCAAGAACCAAACGAGTGAGCGCATGACCGGATGTTAATCCATTAGCGGCGTCCCCGACCAGCCTGATTGCCTGCACATCGCATCCCATCAGGGCCGTGCCCCGCATCGTAAATGACAGCGTGGCTGATTATATCATACCCATGTAAAGTCACCCTTCAACCCCTGCTCTCGTACGAGTGATAAATCGTGAACGCAAACCTACCCCCCCTCCTTTCCTTCGACAGCGCACTATAGGTTAATGATAATTTAATGATATTGGAGGGGGGGTACAGTAAGCTTACCCCTACGCGAAGGTTCGGTATGGCCCATGGTCACTGGGAGGCGCCCTGATTCATGTGAGCATCGTCCAGTGGAACATGTCAACGCCTGGATAGTGGATCTGATGGTAGCATAATCCTGCTATGGGAGAAAGGTGGACATGCAGGAGCATGTAATTTAGATGTGTAGGCAGCTGAGTGGCTGTCATGGAGTATGTTATCTGCACGGGGTTATGCCCCAAATGTAGCGATTGTATGGGGCACTACCCCAGCAGAGGTGTTGTCTATATAGATGGGTCATTAGTTAGCTGTTTGTCTGAGTATCGAACACTTCTCTCCTCTCCTCTGATCCTGTGTACGAGCAACCACGTCTTTCTACCACCATCATGATCCTCAATTACCACGCAATTCGCGTCGAGCCGCTGTATTCCCCTCCCCTAGATATCATACTCGAGTACTAGTAGATGAATGGAACACAATATAACGCTGAGATCTGTGCATGCACAGTATAAATAATGAGTGATAATCGATGACCGGCCCATCCGATCAATAAATTTCAAGCTACACACAATCTATTACCGAGCTGGGGAAGCAGAAACTAGGATAGAAAGCACACACACATAGGGTTTGCGAAAGGGGAAGAAAAGAAGGGAAAAAAAAGGGCCAACAGAAAATCCCGCTTTAAGAGCAAGTAAGCAACCGAACTTTTATCTCCAATTTTCCGTGCACGTACGACCACACGAGTAGAGCCTTACGCAGATCCAGCCTCAGGCCTAACCTCTCCCCTAACTCCAATTTGCGTGCCAATCACCCTGGCAGCGACATTCAGGCCAAGATCCGAGCCGACGTTGATGGTAACCTCGACTTTCCCGCCTTTCTTGACGCCCTTGACGGCTGCTTCGGCAATGACTTTGTGCACCTTTAGTACGCGGTTGCGTTCTTCCTCTTCCCCCCCCGCTTCATCCTCTTCATCCTCGCTGTCATCCTCGTCCTTCTCTCCATTGACTTGTCGCTCAACCTTCTCAATCACAATTTCCCTGATACCCTCACAGATTCTAACGATCACGTCGCCGGTAGCCCGAACGTCGAATTGGGCAATCCTCCGAGCTGGGACGGCCGTCTGGGCTTCTAGCATTGTCTGGAAGCTGTCGTCTTCGCCGATTACGACACCGATTGGATGTGAGAGGTGAGGGGTTACGGTTACTGCCGGGTGGGTGGATTGCTCGATGTCTTCCTTGTCGAATTCGGCAATTAGAGAGGCTTGGATTGCTGCACCGCGAGCCGAGAGTTCTGATGGATTGAGTGACGTTGTGAGTGTTGCCGGGGCGTTTACCGGCACCGACGCTGGGAAGAGGGCGGCGATGCGAGAGGCGATTTTTGGGGTGTGCGAGGTTCCGCCCGAGAGGATCACCTGGATCGTGGTTAGAACTAGACAGCTAGTTATAGGGCGAGGGGGCAGACCTCGCCAATGTCTAGCAAGTCCAGCTCCGCTTTCTTTACAACGTTCTCCACGAGTGACACAATCTGGTCGAATACCTTCTTCGCCGAAAGTTCGTACCGCAGCCTATTGACGGTAGAATGGAAGTCATATCCATCGGCAAGCGACTCGATAGAAATGGTCCCCGAGGTGCCCAGCGACAAAGTCCTCTTCGTCCCCTCAGCCTCCAATCTCAGCTTGGCGAGCGACCTCTCGCTTCGCGGATCAACCTTATGCTTCTTGATAAACTCTTTCGAAAAGTGATCCACAAGCACCTCATCAAGCTTCAGCCCGCCAAGTCCATAATCATGAGCCGTCGCAAGAATGGTGTACATCCCACCCCTAGATGCTACAACAGCAGCATCACACCTAGTGCCCCCGAGATCCGCCACCAAAATATTCTTATCAACACTCTGCTCTTCAGGTGTCTGCCTAGCAGCGTACGCAAGGACAGCTGCCACCGGCTCGTGAATTATCTGCAAAACCTCAAGCTCCCCAGCCTTAGCTGCGGCCACAAGCGCTTCTCTCTGGGAGTCTGAAAAGTCGGTCGGAACGGTGATCACGGCACCGGTAACCTTGCGCCCCAAAAAGTCCGACGCGGAGTCCCTAAGCCGGATAAGGTGTCTCGTGGCGATCTCATTGATGCTAGCGGTGGAAACAGTCTCGTCGTCCGCCTGCTGGAGATTGAATGATGGCACCCCATCGATGTCCACTGGGTGAGCAGAGTTATGGCTATTCGTAGGATCGATCTCGGAGTACTTCTTCCCAAGGAAGTCCCGGAAGTACGCTACAGTGTTCTTTGCATTCCGAACCAGATGCGATTTCGCTTGTGTCCCGTGGTACTCTTCCGAGCCGACCCATGATAGTACCGAAGGAATTTGTCGATCTAATATTTTCTGTCAGCCTTTCGTCCCATCACCATCCATTCACCCGTAACAATCGAACCTCCTTCTTCATTCGCGATAACCTCTGCTTTGCCATCCTGTACGTCGTCAGCCCCGAACCCCCGAGAACGGAAAAAGGTACACAAACCGGAGTAGTATAGGCAATAGAACTTGTGGTATTCCCGAACGCGATCCCAATAACCGTCTTGGTATCGTCATCAATCTCCGGACTCGCTGGCGGCGAAGGTGAAGGATTCCCGGACATTGTCCACGTATTAGTATATCCTATGGGTATTATTGGCGGTGGGGGTGGTAGATGATGGATGGAAAGCTGTGGTGGGGTTGCCCCTCATAAGTTTTCTTTAGGATTGGAGTATTTTTTTTTTTTTTTTTGCCTTAGCGCCGAAAATGGTCCACTAATACAGAGGGGGGGGGGTCAACCAACGGGGGGGGGTTCAACGAACAGAGCAGAGAAAATTCCGGTGTGCCAAGACTTCTTCGGTGGACTGTGCCCTGTTCGTTGACCCTCCTCCTGTGTCACTCGGTCCTCGAGCATTTAGACTATAAGCTTAACATGACCTCTTTCCTCTTGTATCATCCATTACCTCCTCTACCTTTCCATCATGTCTTCGATCCGGTCCATGCAGTTGCACCTCGCTATCCCGGACAACCAAAATCCAAAGAATCTGTCCGGTAGAGCGGGTTATCCGTGATAACGGATCATATTTTGGTGTACTCGAGTACAGTTGCGCCTCGCTATCCCGGACGGCCAAAATCCGGAGAATCTGTCCGGCACAGCGAGGGATCCGGGACAACGGGTTAGGCCTTGGTGGAAAAAAATTCAGAGTTCATGGAGATTCATACGGGACAGCGAAGTATCCGCATTGTCGAGATCTGGGACAGCGAGGTTTGGCTGTATTGTTTTTCTGCTTTCATGCGGTGGCCGCACAGTCTATCCTACTGGGATTTCTCATTTCCATCAGTAGCATCACCTACGAGTAGCGTGTTTGTTCATGATATTATCTATTCCACTTTTACCTATTTCCATTTCCAAACTCGCCGTCACCATTCAAAACTCTTTTATTCCGGCTAGCCATCGTGTATGGCTTTGGCATCAGGTACTCACTTGACTCTCAGCAGAGGGTGTATATAGTACGCTATCCAGTCACGGTGTTGTTGCTGAAGTGTTTGGTACTAATTCATTATTATCGTATCATTGTTAAGCGGTGTTTGCTTCAATACAATTCATCACTCCTATTGAACATTAGTTCCTGCTGCAACCAATTGGTATTCGCACGCGTTTACGGCTCTTTTTCATGAAGTTCGATACCCTACTTTATACCCCTCCCTGGTCTTTGGGCTCGGGAACCCTCTGTTAGCTCCCTCGTTATTATTCAGCAATACAAGCTAGAACAAGGTTTTCGATACCGGTGCGGTGCCCCTGAAGGCGTATTTTCCGGACGGGGTTAGTAAATATATTTATTAAGCCACATTCAGACCCAGGAGATATGAATTAGATGATGTGTACTTTCTTTGAAGAGTTTAAAAATAGCAAAGCTTTTTGCTTTTAATATCAAGTACCAACTTACATTTCCTATTATCTATATCACAGGAATCCATGGCTGCAAAATAATCTACTTTACCAGTACTTGGTCTAGCTCCTGTCTTTGCCTTGTTTCTGGCGTGCGGGAGTTTATTTTACATTATATTTCATTGTCCAAACCTCCAGTTAATATTACAGAGGGAATTGAGGAGGGAAATAGGAGGAGAAAAAAGTATAATACTGATTCTAGTAATAAAACTTCTAAAGGAAGCAGTGGGTCGGCAATTTCTAATGTCTATGTTGAGACCATGGAGTCCCAATTTTTATTACGTAACTAGTTTGTATTTAATTCTACACGATAAAAAACAGTTCTTCGCTCAGTTCAATGGCCTAGGTAGGAGGAAGTAAGGTATCATAGGTGGTAATGATTGGGAGAGAATTCATCAGGGAACTTTTCGTTCGCATTAGACATGTGGGTGCCCCGTCCCAATTCAAGGCTCTGGCCCTCGGGGAGGATATGTCTGGTAGAAGTAGTCTACAAGCATGGTAGTTTCTACACTTTGTTTGCGGACCATTTTGGCCATTTTACTACCCTAGGGTTCCTTTATATGGCCCAGCTAATCTCCCAGAAACCTGGAGCGCGAGCGGGAGGAAACTGCTGCCCCTGGATATAGCGCTTTTGCGTACCTTCTATTTGGACAACACTACTAGTGGTACCTTGTTATTGGCATGGAGGGTGTCGGGGAAGAAGGAAGAAAGGGATGCTGGAAATCTGATTGGATCTTTTAGAGAGCGGGCTTCCATTCCCCTATCTCAGTATGGAAGGTATGAGACTGGAAATGCCCCGCTGGAGCCATTGAGCGTCAGCGCTTTCCCCTAAAGGTGTTGGGTCAGTGCAGCGATTTCCTCGCCGTAGTGTTTCCGTTCACCCAGCTGCTTTGAGTGTAAGATTTCCTTACTTTCTTGGTTGCACCCCCGTAAGGGAGGGCGCGATGTATTTATTGCAGGTGGTGGGGGCCTGCTTCCGGCAGACAAGAAAGAAAGAAAGCAGAATCAATGGATCGTGTGGTGCAGCGCGGTAAAGGGGGGGAGCTATCAATATTCTCGCCGGAGGTTGTAGCTTATACCAAATCCTAGAGAGCCCCCCCCCCCTCCCCGCCGGGCGTCACTCATGTGAAACCGGGTGCCCTTAGTAAGCGATAAGTTGGCCAATTCTCCAGTACAACGAAATCACTCGTTCGGATTATACTTTGGGAGGAAAGCAGTAAAATCATACCCCCATGAATACGTAAAGTCGGGTTGGAGCCGGCAATCCGGTCCTTGATTCCAGTCCTAGTTTCATCTTAACCAGGTGCGCTCAAGGAATCGGACCGCCATCCCTTGCTATTACCATATATTAACACCACTTTGCCCTCTCTGCCCAGATCTCGGGTGTTGGGTTGTGTGGATAAAGTAGCAACCTTTCATGGTGACCCAGACGGTATACACGCTTCCCTCTGCGGAGTGGTATCAGACTCTCAACAAATGGGAACGGTTGGTTAGCTGACCCCCCCCCCCCCCCGGAGATTCCAAAGAAGTTTGAACCAATTTTCTCCATCTTCAGCCGAACTTGCACCTGCAGTCCAATAACGACGACCACCAGATATTCTGCGGACCCCGCCCGAAGAAACTCGTTTGTGTTTTTAGCCACTTGTACGATAGCATCTCGTTTCTCGACTTTCCGCGTGTATTTTCACCTGAACATCCTGCTCAGCATTCCTGGTAGGGCGGCAGGGAGGGGATAGGGCAGAAGAAAGAGTACAATGGATCTCCTTGGAAATTTTGTGTCAGTTATTTCCGTCCCTCATGTTTCCTTTGTGAATATATACACGAGCCCTGATACTCTCGGAAAAAATAACCAATCACCCACTATCACTCGGTTGCAGTCAGCTTGTCAGATACCGTAAGAACTCGAATAATTGGACCATGTGCTATGTAGTCCGAAATTTCCTCCCCTGGAAAAGGGGGCAAATACACACTAAGAAAAACACGGTTTCCAAGACAATTAAAAAAGAAAAAACGGTAGACCTTACTGAGAGAGGCAAGTCCAACGTCCTAGCACATGGTTGAATTATCCGAGTTCTTCCAGTATCATATTTCCTATGGTGCTGCCAGAGTAGACTCAGAAAAACCCGGGCCGCCCCGGCCGCTGCCAAGCACTGCAGAGATCGCTCACGTCCACCTTGTGTGTAGATGGTGGAGGAACCTTTGTCACGGATGTTCAAGCGTTGGGGACATTTGGTAACCTAATTTATATTCGCCCTTTGTTACCTTAGTATGCATATAGATTGTGTTATTTAAGTTGGGGGATACGGTAGTAAATACTCTTGAGCTCGAGCCCCTGGTGCGACGGGTAAATACTAGTGAATTCCTCACTCGCCTACAACCCCCCCCTGTTCCAAGCTCGCTCTGCGCTACAGTAAATGTAGGTGCGAATTTACCATAGGAGGGATGGCGAGGCCTATCTCTTCACACTCATTCATACATATCAGTTCAGAAACTGTGTGTTTTAGAAATTATTGTGTGTGATTCTCCTGAACAGCAGTTCCGGCAAAAAAAAAAAAAAAAAGAAGTCAACTATACCGGTCAAGTGCGAAAAAACAAAGAAACAACAGATAATAAAATGAACGACTTGATCAAACATAGGAAACAGAAGCTAGGCCATCCGTAGCTGACAAAAAATAAGAAGCCTCAAACAAATATCGACGAGACTGGCTCCCCTTTGTGCTTTGGAACCTAACGGCATTAAGACATCCTATAACAATTTCAATCAGCACGGTTTCCACCCTGTGCCCACTGCAAAGCTTGACCATAGCCAGCAGCGCTCTCCAACTCTAATGCTATCCTCCAAGTAACCAACAGAACACTAAGAAGACAGATTATATTGCCAAGCAAGATAGAGATGCCAAGAGCAGTTTCATAGTATAACGCAAAGGTGATGAAAACTATAGAAAAAAGGCCTATGCCACACCCCAGGGGAAGCCCCAGGGCTATGGAAAGGAGAACACAAATTGCCTTGACCTTGGGTACCTGAACTGTAGTTTTGAGCATATCTAAGGAAGGTACGGGAATGTTGCTTCGACCCGATATTCTAGCAGAAGTACCAGGTGTGGCACTAGGATCCCCCTCGATAGAAGCACATTTGTGCGGAATATACCCATTTGCATACCTGTAGGAACTGTTCTTGCTCTCAACAAGACAGTCGGGCATGCTGTTTATGACTAGCCAAATAGCTACACATTCGCTTTCGGTATCGTATTCGATGATCGTAAGTCCGAGCCGTTTTTCCATCCAAGCGCAAATTTGGATGCTGGCAAATCTTGAAAATGCGATTGCTGATATAAATGTTACCACAAATATCAGGCTGAGGAACAAGGTGCTCATGACAATACTGCCAAAGAGAAAGGATGAAGCGGCAACGAAGATAACCTGGAAATAGCTGTACAGCCATCCCACGCTTATATTTGGCTGAAGGGAACTTGGTGAAGGCCGAATAACTAAAATCATCGGATGCAGTTTGATAAGCCTCTTCCATTCCATAAATAATATTTTACATGTGATTCGCAGCATGAGGAATGGTCGCCGCCATCTGAATCGCTACAATCAGCATATCTGCATCATACTTTAAACTATATCAAATATTTGAAGAAACGTGATATACCTGGAAAAATATTTCAGATTATTCCAGTATTGCACCAAGTTTATTCGAAACCAGTAGGTATGAGGAGCTCGAAGCCGGATTAGGTTCCTGGAAAGTGCAGAAGTCTTCTCACAGGCGCAATCCGGAGTAGAC